GTGTGTGATTATATATATATATATGTGTGTGTGTGTGTAAATACTTTTTTTCCCCACTGTATATATATATATATACAGTATATTGTGTGTGTATATATATATATATATATAAGTATTATTTAACCAAAACCCATTCTAAAAACACAAAAACTTGTTTATGGGTTTTAGGAGTTTTATTGTCACTTTGAGTGAACGGTCTCTTTAAGTATCTCATATGCTAATTGTGACATTAATCCCAATCTCATATTTCAGGTGGTTCAGCATGACCCGTGTCGTGGTGGCGCTGGTTATTGGAATAGTCTTTTCAGGTTTAAACACTTGGCCACAGGACACTACCTGGCAGCAGAGGTGAGTGAGGTGTGTTCTACTAGCTCGGGATCCTCCCTCAGCTGTTCCCAGATCAGCACTAACCTCTCCCACTGTGTAGGGAACCTTACTAACTTCCTCTAGATTTTCTCTGGCTAAAAACTGCAGTCTGTAAGATTATCAGCATTCCTCTGAATGTTTCCGTCACAGTCTCAAACCTGCTCTGTTAGATGCCAAACTGGTTAAATCTTACATAGTGCATCTTTAATCACTTCTGTGGTGCTGTTCTTTGAACGTGGCTAGCTTGGGTAGCCAGAGATGTTTAAGGATATTTTGACATAAACCTGGGGGGAAAAAATTAAATAAATATATATATATATATATATTCTCAATCACAGTCCTTTTTTACTTCAAAATTTGATGCATTTCATAGGGAAACAGGATATACAATGGGAAAAAATGATCAAGGAAAAAACATCAGATCATTATCAGCCAATACTTTTGTATAGCCAATAATTTTGATATTGGAATTGGATTGGTTGTGAAAAAATAGTATCGGTGCATCCCTAGTTTTTATTTTAGTTTCATTTTAGTTTAGTTTTAATGTAGTTTTGAGATATGCTTTTGATAATTTTGTTAGTTTTTTTTTTATTTCTTTTGACTATTTAGGTTTAATTTATTTTGGTCATTTTTAAGTTTTATTTATTTCTAGTTTGTAATGTTAGTGCTCATTTTCTTTTAGTTAAATTTTTCATCTAATATTTTTATTTAATTTCAGCTTAATTTCAGTTAATATAAAAAATGCTTTGACCTCTTAATGGTGATATTTTTTCTTAATAATAATAATGTACACCAATTATTTGATGTGGGCCAAGAAACGTATATTAAGAAAGTAAAAGGGGTTAATTTTTAAATCGTGTGCATAAGCCTTAAATAAGGGAAGTCTTGTATTTATGTCAAGTGTTGAAACATATCTCTCTAACCAAGTAAGCCATACTCACAGATCAGGACCCTGACTTTGTGGTTTTATTAGCTTGTGCCTAATAAATCAATCAATCAATTTCCTGATCAGTTGCCTGTCAAATAAAATAATCTGATTTCCTTTAGTATTTTGAGGACAATTTTGGTGATTTATCTGTCCACAGGTTAATCCTGACTATGAGGAAGAGTCACAGGAATCACGTTCATCTGTAAGTAGTTATATTTCTGTTAAATAGTTGGCATACAATTTAGGTGTATTATCAGCTTATCTAAACTTCTGGCTGAATTTTTGTTTCCTGTTCCAGGTGGCAGATTTTTCACCCTTTAACTTCCAGGTACTGTCAGACAAAGCTTATGTAGCTTCATCTTCATGCCAAAGGCCTTTAGTACTGTTCCCTATAATACTCTTTGCATAGCTCTACGCATTCTAGACAGTATGTGTTTGTGTTTTCTGTGCAGTTTTGTTTGATTTTATTGCTCATTATAGCTTTAAAATGTGGTTGTGTACATGTTATGATATATCAACAGCATTCATGGGCAAAAGTCAGCCACAGTGTTATTTTAGTATTATCTATAGACTATTTTACAATTTATAAATATTTTGAATCGGCTTTTATTTTTATTTTTATAATGTTTTTATTTCATTTTTAGTTTTATTGAAGTTAATACTTCAACCTTAATTTATTTCAGTTACTTGTCATTTCTAATTAATTTTCATTTAAGTTATATATATATATATATATATATATATTAATCAGCTTTATTTAAATTACTGAAAAAAAATTTATAGTCTAGTTTTGGTTTTAGTTAACGATAACAACACTGGTTACAATGAAAGTAATGGGGGAAGCACATTGAATTAAATGTTAAAACACACATTGTTTCGAAAGTTTAGCTTCAAAACATGAAATGTAAATGTAAAATCCCTACCAGCCTTTTTCTGTGCAAAATTAAAATAGTAAAACTGTTATGATTATATAAAGTAAACCCTGTAACTTTTGCATCATACGTGCAGAAAGGGGAATATTTACATCCGAAGAGAAAAATCCAAAACATAGGAACTGCACTGACATATTTTAAGGAACAAATAATGCAATTGTTTTAACAAAGATACAAGTGTCACATTTCTATTTTTAAAACCTTCATATGCATTACAGATTTTTTAAAATAAGAAAATCAGGAACAAGTCAAAATAATAATAATTAAAAAAATGATTTTATGGCATAAATGCTGTTGAACTTGAATTGAACCCCAGAATATTTATTTAAGACAAATTCACAGTTTCTTTTCAGAAAATAAATGCACTATTTAACTTAAAACAAATAAATAAAAAAGGAAGTAATTAAAAAAATATATATCAATTTTTTCCTATTGAATTTATAGTTTATTTAACAGTTGGGGTTCAATAATTTCTAGAATGTATTCTTTAACCAACCACAAGGTGACACTATAGTTAGGAGTAAAGCAGTTTGAGCAGTGCAGCTCATCGCCTGTAGGTGGCAGTATAACACCTCGACTCGCTTTAAACGGTCCCTCCTGTTGCTAGTGTGCATGTCCTTACTAAACTTTGCTCACAATTCTCAGTTTAATCATTGTTTCTTGATGACCGACCCTTTGCACAGGTTTGTGGCATTCTATGACATTTCCCCTGAGTTTCCCTGAAATTAACCAAGAACAGCAGTCAGCTCTATTGTTGACTTTAAAAAATGCTAAACTTGTTAAAAAGAGTTTTCTTAAATAGACTTCTTAAAAGAGATTTCATATTCTTCTTTGTCATATTCTTGTATGCTTTGAGGAATTTCAGGTCACATGCGAAGTTGTAAACATGTCATGAATCAAAAATTGTTTCATTGGCTAATGGCATCACTTAAGACCGGTTTTATTTCAGTCACATAATCAATAAGCCGGAGAGAAGTGTTGTGTCTCCATGGTTACGTGTTCTCCTCTCTCCTCTAGCTTGACTCAGAGCATGAAGCTCTGCGAGCACGTCTGCGAATGCCCAACGAGAAGGTCATGTACACCCTTGTGTCTGTCCCCGATGGCAATGACATCTCCTCCATATTTGAGCTGGATCCCACCACCCTCAGAGGAGGAGACTCCCTCGTACCCAGGTACACATTGGACCATTTTTGGTTCATACCATTAAAGTCACTGAAGGTATAACCATCTCTAAATCCAGTACAGATTTAAATGTTACAGTTCAAAACTCTATATGTCATTAATTGATGTAGTGATACTATACAAACCTACCTGAACAGCTGCAATGTGCTTTGTAGAAGGCTATATGATGAATTATGAATGAACAGAATTTTGCATTAGCCCTGGATTTTAAACAGGGGGGGTAACACAAGTGACAAAAATATGAATACATATATTAGGGCTGCTCGATAAATCACATGCGATATTTAACGCGCATCTTGTCAGTAAAGCCATTCTGTAATCAGCGGTAAATCTCCATCACCTGCGGGCTTTCACATGGAGCAGCATTAACTACACAGAGACAAGCTGCGCAAAACATGCGCAAAATATGATCGTGGTTTTGCGCAGCTGGTCTCTGTGTAGTTAATGCTGCTCAATGTGAAAGCCCGCAGGTGATGGAGATTTACCGCTGATTAAAGAACCGGCTTTACTGACAAGATGCACATTAAATATCGCATGCGATTTATCGTGCCGCCCTTATATATATATATGTGTGTGTGTGTGTGTATGTATGTATGTGTATATATATATATATATATATTACTGTTGTTTTTAATTTGCTTGTCAGTGTAAATTGTGAAACTTTTACATACACAAAGTCTGATTTGTGTTCAACTCCAAAAGTATGTCTATTGCCTTGTAAAAGAAAAAATTACATTTTACTTTTAATTTTAGACAATATTTTATAGTAACGTTTATATGTGGAATTACACCTAAATTTAATCGAAGTAAAAAGCCATATTTGATAAGGTTTACAGATAAGCAACAAACCAAACAACCAATGGATGAATTATAATTTGCTTGAAGAAAATGTTGGCAGTTTTAAGTCCATTATATTTACTATGATATTTTTCAGGGCATTTAAGAATGTTTCATACCCTAATTATCATTACCTTTATGCAAAAAATAGTGCTTTTATTATTTAGTAGTGATATATTTTTAATATCTTTTATTAGTTAATAAGGATATATAAAATATTATATATATATATATATTGTAATTTTTTGGCTGACTGGTTGATTGTTTTAAAATGTTTACAGTTAAACATTTCTATGATGCTTAACTTTAAAGTAAATATTTGTATAATCATCATTGAGAATAATTAGAATTGCAAAAAAAACAAAACCTTATAGTCCAGTATAACAGAATTTGCAGGGACATTGATTTAAATAATGTATGTAAAAAAATGTGTATTTTATGCAAAATGTAGACTTATTAGGAGCAATTTACCCCATTAGATGACAAAATACAATTGTATATGATTTATTGGTGCATGCAGAGATTGTATAATGTCAATAGTTTTGGCAGGTCAGGGTTAATCAGACTTTGAGGTGGAGTGGCAGGTTTGCTGCTGTCAGTTTGAGCTCTGAGTAATGTGATAGTCCTGTTTATGATAAGTTCAGACCGTACACATGAGATTCATGCCTCTTTCTCTGATTCCCTCACTTTCTGTTGCCTGAAAAAGTTGTGTAGAGTGTAATATGATCAGACTCGAGATTTTGCCCCTGATTGTGGACATGAAAGCCCATCCAAAATACACACAGCAGCTGATAATGTTTTCATGCCTGCGGGATATTTGAATTAAGTAGTACACGACCCTAAATGAACCTAATGAAAAAACCGACTAGTGTGTCTGATTCATGCAGTTATGGATATAAGTCGCAGGAAATATGTCATTTTGCACACACACATCTCATGATGTCTTGGCTCTCTTGAGGTCTGGCGACTCTTTTTGTTTGTTTTTAACTCTTGTCTCCGTGAATCATGTGTGTTGGATCAAGAGAGATGCCAAACTTGGAGAAATGCACACATGCTATCACATGTCTACTCACACACCCGTCAGACTCTTTGACCCAAACGCTTCCAGGGTGGAGTGTGCATGTGTCACATTGTGTGTGTGTGTGTGTGTGTGTGTTTTCCTCATTCAGATACCTGCAGATTATGATTTTTCTTTCTGAAAATAGCCAGGAAAGTCCCAACAGTGTGCGGAGGCAGGAAATCAGGGTGACCGTGCACTTTGCCAGCGTGATATCTTTCCATGTTGTTGAAACATGTCGTTAAAACAGAAGCCAGATGTTGCGTAACCATCCACCCCCAGACTCCCTTATTTTTATAAGCAATCACTTGGAAAGTGTTTTTTATGAAGTAATCTTCCTTACAGCTCAGAATCAGAGCATAGTGGGGGAAATTCAGTTTTGAGATTTAATGAGCGAATCACATGAAGATGTCCAGATTATAGTTAACTGCAGTATGTAATTGTGTGTGTATATGTTTGTGTGTGGGGTGTCCGCATGAAATTAAATGTACAAATCTGATTTAATATACATAGAAAGCATATTAAATGCAAGTAAAGTGTCTGCTTTAATGTTTCAGATAACTTTTGAGATTATTATGTTCCTTCTTCGTTCAGCATGACAGATATATTCATGTAAAAATGAAATGGCATACATATTCTGACCTGTACTTATTAAAATATATAAAAGAATAAGTGATCATACTAAATTTTATTATTAAAACTTCTTGCTGACAAATGGGTAACACCTAGTGGTTTGAAGGATTGCAGCAAGGATTGGTAAAGATTTAAAAAGACAATTAATTATTATTTAGATTTATATGCTTAAAGAGAGTCTTTTAATTACATCTAATGATTCTTGTTTTAAATACAACTGACAGCATTTTTGGGTACATAAACTATTGTGAAATTGAAAAACATTTTAGTGTGCGTCTTCTGTAAATCATGATAAAAATGTGTAATAGTCATCATTTTTTGCTCAAAAAAAATTTAATCGGTCACATTCTAATGTATAGAAAAAACTAAATTTAAAGCTGTAATAAACTTTTATTGTTTTGGTGCTTGAAAACCCCTTTTGTCTTTACTCTTGACTAATCGTATCCGGTAGTTAAAATTTTTCTTTTTTTACTTTTGATATACTTTTTTAAAAAAAATTTAAAAATTTTTTTATACAATGTGGTCATTAAAAAAAAAAATCTTAATTTTCAAAATGTGACTTTTTATGAATTTCTTGTGATGTAGTGGTGATATAGGACCCAGAAACTATCTTCACAGGTTTCTATTTGAATGCAGTCTGATTCATGTGAACATGAGCTGATGATGTCAAAATGATGGATGTGTGTTTGTGTCTTGAATCAATAGCTGCTTCTTTGTATATTGAGTCTATGGACTTTGAACACCTCTGTAGATTACGCGGCCCTCTCAATAACATGCTTCGAATTGACTAAGCCGCTGACAGGAACGGTCATATGTGACCCTGGACCACAAAACCAGTCATAAGGGTCCATTTTTCAAAATTGAGATTTATACATCATCTGAAAGCTGAATAAATAAGCTTTCCATTGATGTATGGTTTGTTAGGACAATATTTGGCCGAGATACAACTATTTGAAAATCTGGAATCTGAGGGTGTAAAAAAAAAAAAATCGAAATGTTGAGAAAATCGCCTTTAAAGTTGTCCAAATTAAGTTCTTAGCGATGCATATTACTAAAAAATTACGTTTGGATGTATTTACGGTAGGAAATTTACAAAATATCTTCATGGAACATGATCTTTACTTAATATCCTAATGATTTTTGGCATAAAAGAATAATCAATAGTTTTGACCCATACAATGTATTTTTAGCTATTGCTACAAATATACCCCAGCGACTTAAGACTGGTTTTGTGCTCCAGGGTCACATATGTATAACAAGCTGGCATTATCTTGTATGTCTGAGTGCTGCGAGTGTGTGTGACAGAGATTATCTTTATGTTTGATCCTAGTAAAAGGATTTTCAAAGTCATGGCTTTAAGTGTGACCTAAAATACCCTCAGTCTCACTAACCAGCAGCCCTTTCATGGCACAGGAGGGCTGTAGATGTGACTAATTAGTCTAAGGTGGCACAGGGGGCACATGCACACACACACATACACACAAAGGTAAGCCTGTTAGTCACATAGGAGATTATGCAACTGAGCCAGGAATACAGCCGTACCTGATGTCCCCTTGTGACCCATCTAAAGCATGTTTATGTATGTGACAAAGTGTGTTTGAGTGAACTATTTGGCCAAATTGTACTTACTTGTGTGTGTGTGTGTGTAATTGTATAGATGTGTGTACAAGTGTGTCCTGTGAGTGAATGAACTCTGTGACTTTGGTTACATTCAAGCCACAGATTGAAGAAGGCCTAAATCAGATCCTCATGAAAGGACAGGCCTTCACATGTGACACAGCGCTGGGTGACAGTGTGAACTGCAAAAATCATATTTTCAGTTTCATAAGTCAATCTGGTATGAATTTGACTAAATGTAAGTTTTAAGCATAAAACTAGGCTCTGGAATTAAATTATTTTTTTTTTATTGATAGCCTCTAGGCTTTTAAAGATCTCTAAAACATTTTTCTTATAAATATATGTATATTCACTACCGTTAATACATTTGGTAAGTCAGCAAGACTTTTCTCTCTTATGATCACTCAGGCTGCATTTATTTGATCAAAAATGCAGTAAAAGCTGTAATACTGTGAAATATTATTCCAATTTAAAATGACCGTTCTCTGTTTTAATAAATGTTACAATGTAATTTATTCCTGTGATCAAAGCTGAATTTTCAACATCATTACTCTGGTCTTCAGTGTCACATGATCCTTCAGAAATCATTCCAATATGCTGTTCTGCTGCTTAATATTTCTGTGGAAAATGTAATGCATTTTCAGGATTCTCTAAATAGAATATTTAAAAGAACAACATTATTTGAAATGAAAAAAATAAGATTTTTTTCTGTCACTTTTGATCAGTGTAATGCACCCTTGCTGAATAAAAGTATTAATTATGCTCAAAAAAAGAAAGAAAAAATTGTACTGAGTACTGACCCAAAACTTTTAGAGTTGACCGCATGTTTTAGAGGTGACACTCTCTCTCGCACATGCACCAAAAAAATTAATAAAAAGGCAAAATCATGTCCTGGGTGGAGTATTTCTTTATGTCAGTAATGTTCTTTGTACCATTATTAAATTTGTTTTAATTGCTTCCTCTCATGCAATTTGTCACCATCCTCCACGGAGTATAAACTTGACTCATTGTCTCTCTCTCTCTATTTTTTTTTTTAAATATATATTTCTGATAATGCCACAGTGTTTTACACATGCAGCTCAGTTTAGATGCATCGCCTGTTTAGACCAGTACAGCATTTAAAATATCATGTTAACAGCCTTGTGAAAAACATATTGGATTGCACGGTGGAATGCAGTGTGAACGTCGCCTTAGTGTGCAAGAGTAATGTGAACAGGTGCATTGTGCTTTTGGCGATTTAGTAAAGCAAGAGTGAATTAACAATCTGGCCTGACAGGGCTTGCTCGTAGGGGTGTGTTTATACACCACACACACTTACACACTAAGAACAATAGAGGCTTTGATAGCCATAAGGTCTGTGTGTGTGTGTGTGTGTGTGTGTGTGTGTGTGTAACTGCCATAGCTTCCCGCAAGCGCTGTTGGAGTCAGCGGCAGGGAAAGTTCATTTTTGGATTGAGCAATACAACCAGAACAACTTAAGTCTGCGAATACACAAGCCTTAAAGCAAATTACTTAAACTTACTATGTCAGAAACACCTGAACATATCTGATACAATTGCAAAAGAGCTCAATTACATCTGACTTAATAAATATTATGTTCCATAACTTAGAGTTGCGGTGTCTGGTTAGTGAGTTTGTGGCACAGATGTTTCTTTGACATCCTCAATAGAGCCACTGTTTGGCCTTAAATGTTGGATTCAACGCCACATGAGTTTACAGGGGTCACAATGACCTGAAGGCTCCCCACCCCCCATATACAGTGCTGCTTGAAAGTTTGTGAACCCTTCAAGGGTTCAAGGGTTACAAGAAACATTTAGTTGCAGTTATTGCTGCAAAAGGGGGCCACACCAGATACTTAAAGCAAAGATTCACATACTTTTGCAAATGACAGATATGTAACACTGGATCATTTTTCTCAATAAATAAAGTCATTCTAAGTATATATTTTTGTCTCATTTGTTGAGACAATGAGAAAAGCTTATGAGCACATACGTGTCATAGCAATTTGTGCTAAGCACAACGGCACAATTCATATATATATTATTAAGCAGATCGTACATTTTGATATCTCTAATGTGTGTTATTGTTATTGAGTCTTTTACCAATTGTTTCATCCTCAGGAGCTCATATGTGAGACTGAGGCACTTGTGCACCAATACGTGGGTCCACAGCACCAACAACCCCATCGACAAAGAGGAGGAGAAGCCAGTTATGTTACGGGTGGGTTTTGTATAAGTAATTCACTAAAAACACTTATCATGCCATTTAATCTGATTTATTGTTTTAGCAGCTGTTGAAATAATAGTAATAATAATAATCATTATTATTATTTATATTATTGTTATTATTTAAATTATACATTTGTTTAAATTATATTATTAAATTATTATTTTAATAAATATAAGTATTGTTTTAAATATACTGTAATTAATATTAGTAAATGTTAAATATTGTAAATATATCCATTTTTCAACATGGAAGTAAGCCGTTTTCTGTGAATGTGTGAGACCTCCGGTTCATTAGGGAAATAGTGAGAAGAATAACAATGTGCAGTAAACGGTAAAACTTGTTTGCACTACAAACCAGTGTGTTCATCAATTAAGACAAACATTAAAATAATATGGCAAGACTCACAAGTTTGCAATATCAAGCAGCAGAAGGAGCTGTTTTGTACAGCGGAAGCCAGACCCATACAATTTACTCTTACGGGAAAAATAGGTGGATATTAATAAAATATATAAACAAAGTCTGTGTAAAATAGGAAGTTATAAAAGTGTACAAAATATATATTTTATATAATAAGAAATATTATTTAAAACATTATTTTAAATAAATATAATTAAAATGCCATGGTGAAATATTTTGTATAAAGTCTATTTAAAATGTAAAAGGTATAGAATGCATTATAATAGATGTCATCTTCAACATAACATTATTCATGTTATCTTGTTATCTTCATATTAGTGTTGCACTAAATTGCAGTTTGTTTTCTCCTTCAGATTGGCACATCACCTATCAAAGAAGATAAAGAGGCCTTCGCCGTTGTGCCAGTCCCTCCTGCGGAGGTGAGGGACCTAGACTTTGCCAATGATGCCAGTAAAGTGTTGGCATCCATCGCCGGCAAGCTGGAGAAGGGCACAATCACCCAGAATGAAAGAAGGTATCAGAGTATCTGGAGTTGGAATGTGCTTGGAAAGTGCTTCAGTCCTTTGGTGACCCCTGACTAAATGCTTTTGCTTTGATCTCGTTTAATGAATGTAGAACATTTCCCACCAAGGATTTTGTCCTTGATTAGGGCCTGTTAAGAGTTTAACCTGACATTCCAATCAACATGACCTTCTTTTCTCTGTGCATTCTGTAGGTTTGTCACTAAGCTTCTCGAGGACCTTGTGTTTTTTGTGGTGGACATTCCAAACAGTGGGCAGGATGTTTTGGAGATCATGGTCAATAAACCCAACCGTGAACGGCAGAAACTCATGAGAGAGCAGAATATCTTGAAACAAGTAGGATGTTCTTCAATACCTCACACTTCACCACTTGTAATGCCTAAAATATGCGTACTTCACTTTAAAAAGAACATTTAGAAGAGGCAAATGTGCAATGACTAGTCGACTAGTCTAAAAGTAAGAAACCCTCAGTAGACAGTCAAAAATATTATTTGCATATGCGATCCATTGGAAATACTTAAATTATGAATCAAACTGTCAAATAATTCTAGATACCTTATTATCCGAATTGTTCTTATTTTCCATCAAACAGTTAAAATTTTCACACTGAGGGCAACAAATCAGCAGGTCTGTATAAAAATGCAAATTCACTCTCGGACAGCAGGTGGCGCTTTTGGACAAGCAGAAATACAACGGTTACCTTTGCTAATAAACACTATTTATACTGAGATAACATGAAAAAATGTCATCCAAACCTGAAGAAAGTCAGTTCCCTTTCATCCTTTAAACCTGTAAATACGCTCTCACACCTTGCTCCTTTTCTTAGCCGACACACGCAACAAGTAACATGAAGAAAACACATGCATACATGAGGTGAAATTTTGTTTTCAGATCCAGATATCCCCTTTCAGAATAATGTATTATTTTTTTATATTTTTAACATCAAAATGACAATTTTGACTAGTATTTCCAATGTTGGATAGTCTTGCACATCCTTAGTTTAGAAAAATGTATTATTACCGTATTGGCCCGAATATAAGACGACCCTGATTATAAGACGACCCCCCTTTTTCCAGATGTACCTTTTGGAAAAAGGCTTTTTAAAAACCAAATCTTGTTTTTTCTCAGTAAAACACATTTTGTCTTCAATTATTTTCATGTTGCATATTTTTCCTATTTTCATTTTTGTTTTGAAAGTATAGTAAAAACTGGTAAAAAGTACCAACGATCACATTTAAATAATATACACTTTTTGATATACCATTTAAAAAAACA